AAAAAAAAAAAAAAAAAAAAAAGCAAGTGAACTTGTGCCAGCCCTGACCACCCTAATTGAGGCCTCTGCTTCAGCCCATACGGTAGAACCTCCCTGTTCCATGTGCATTGCTGATCCTCGTTCCTGGAGTCTTCACCTCTACCTTCTCATTTTTAAGAATCAAAAATCATTCCTATTTTTCAAGGCTAATACAAATGCCAGCCCTTCTACAAGGTCTTTTCTGAACAGCCAGCCAGAAATGATTTTCTGCAGCATTCTGTTCTGAATGGCATTGGAATTGACTGGTGTCCAGGGCATGTCTGTCCTCTGCTGGGTGTTCTAGATGGTAGGGGCCAGTGGTTTACTCTGTTGCCTCGCCCAGCACATCATGAGTCCAGAGTGTGTGCTTGCAGAATTGAATTGTGGGTTTTCTGACCTCTCCCTAGGATACCGCTATGTGATTCTGGATATCCCCCTGCTGTTTGAGACCAAGAAGCTCCTCAAGTACATGAAGCACACAGTGGTGGTATACTGGTGAGTGTGTGGCACAGCCTGGCCAGACTGAGGCTGGAAAGGAGGACCCTCGGGATAAAGTGGGTACCTAGGAAATGGCCCACATCACTCTGCTGTTTCCCTGTGGGGCAGCCAGGAGACACAGTAGGTTTGGGCAGCAGTACCCAGAGTGTATAGAAACCAACCTCTGTGCCTGACCCAGATACGCCTGGGGCAGATATTGGAAGTGATGGGGCACCAGGCTTCTCTAGTGCTTGGGTAGGGCTCCCCCTGATGGCTATTGGAGGCACTTCAGCCAGATGTCAGGACTTGCCCCAGCCTATTATGTCATGCAGTGGCTCCCTTCTCCCTCCTATAGCACTTCTCAACTTTCCAAACAACTTCTACATTTATTACTTCACTCAGCTTACCTTTCAATATGAGGTGGTCAGGGGTTGATACTTCTGAGTTATTGAAGATAAAATTGAAGGGGAGAATTACAGAATTTGTCTAAGGTCACCCACTGGCAATGAACAGAAAGTTGCATGGAGGAAACTGTCCAAGCCCAGCTAAGGGATAAGCTTTGTTCTCAGAATTCCCAGGACATGAAGCAAAACAGAAGCCAGGTTTGGCAAACAGAGGAGGATCAAACTGTCAAAGAAAATGAGTCACAGTCCCAGCAGAGTGAAAAAGTAGATGAGAGTGTTTTTGCCTCCCAGAAACTTCCTGGATGCCACCCACAAGTATAGCAGGCACATAGGTGGGCACTTGGCTCTGCAGGTATTTTGGGCACAGGGTGGCTCTAAAGAGACAAATGCATGGGAGGCTCCTAGCACACTGGAAACAGGGCCTGGAATGAATGCTCAGTGCCCTAAGCATCACCCTGCCCTTCCCCCCTGCTCCCTCGTGGATGGTCTTTTTTTTCTAAAGCCTGCAGCACCCAGTCAGTATTCCTAGGCAGTTTCCCATCCAAGTACTAAGAAGGCCTGACGCTGCTTAGCTTCTGAGATCAGGTGCATTCAGGGTGGTATAGCCTTAGACCCATGGGCTATCACTTAAAGCCCAGTTCAAATCCCTTGAGCCTGGTGTAGGAACTTGGGCATCCTCTCAGCTCCCCCATGGGGTTGTGTCTCCCCGTGTAAACCTGCAGCCTCTCTGGGTTCTTTGTTTCTTGTTTGTGAAAGACTATCATCTGAGGTCAGGCAGATCCTACAAGGACCTGGAATTCTCTTTGCCTTAATAATACAATGGAAACTTTGTACCTCAGGATACATTTTTTTTTAAAAGGGATCTTGGATCTTAGAATGCAGGGACTGATTGCATCTGCAATCACCAGATGACTTCATGCCTACGCTTGCCACCCTCCTCTTCCCGTGCTTTCCTTTGAGGATGGTCTACTTGCTGAGAGCAGAGATAGCTGTGGCTTCTGGTGGGTGAGTGGGGCTTCTCTGATCCTGCCTGCTCTCCAGGAGATCTTCTTTAGCCCCACTCACTAGCCAGAGGAGCCTTTGCCAGAATCCTGGGTACTCGTCATGCCCCACTTTCAGCACATGTGGGTGTACAAATCTCAAGAGATGCCAGAGAGATTAGAGTAAGTGATTATTTACTTTTTTTTTTTTTTTTTTTCCTTTTTGTCTTTTTTCGTGACCGGTAATGGGATCACAGCCCTCGGTGTCGCGCCCGTACCGCGACCGGCAACGGGATCGCAACCCTCAGTGTTGCGCCCGCACCGCGCTCAACCAGTGAGCGGGAACCGGTCTCTATATGGGATCCGAACCCTCGGCGGGAGCGCCGCCACACTCCCAAGCGCCGCACTCTACTGAGTGTGCCACCGGGCCGGCCCTTACTTTTCACCAAAGGGATCTACACTTTACAAAATAAGGATCCCCTCATGGATCCCTTTAACTGGCAAACTGCCACTGGTGTGTCTGAAATAATATGAGTCATTTCTCAAAGTGTGATTATACCAAAACGTGATTATTTGTGTTTTTGAGGAATTTGCCAATGGTAGAATAAGATTTGGGTAAAAATCCCATTACCACAAATAGCATCAAGCCTTAAACTAACTGTAATGGGACTGTTTCTCAGCCCCAGGAAGGAGCGTGGGGGTGCTCCCTTCACCTCCCAGAAGGCCATCCAGTTCGGGCCACACCTTTGGAAAGATGTGCACTTACAGGTAGCCCTAAGCCATCTCCGTTCTCTCACCCAGATTTTCTCAGCCGTAGATTTGTGGTGTCCCTGACTGAGGTTCGATATAGTCCTTGTTCTTAGCCAGGCAGTGATTGGCTCCATAACCTTGACAGTGCACTGTCCCCCATAACAAAGGAAAGCTGTGGCTTGTGTAGTTCATTTTCACGAAGGGTGGCCTTGCCTGTGTCTGACCAAACTGTAGTGATCAAATCCTCCCATTTTATAATGGGAAAACTCAGGTCTAGTGGCAAATCAGAAAGACCCCAGATGGAAGAAAACAGTTGCTGCAGCCCTTTCCCCTATTGCTCCTGTTGAGGGGCTGAGGTGGCTCCTATTGCTAGAAGGGTGTTAGAGGTGACCGTGTCCAAGAGAACTGACCACAGCCGGTGAAGCCTGCTGGTTCCTGTATAGCCGAAGGCAGGAAAGGAGTTCCTGAGCAAGGACCCAGGTGGTGATATCAGGGTGGGGGAAGGAGGTATTCTTTGAATTTCCCTTTAGTTGGGAGACTGGTTCTGGTCTGCAGTGCTTAGTTCTGTCCCAGTGCTGCTGGGGTCCAGTTCTCAAATCCTTGCTGCTCTTGGCAGCACCTTGGGCTTGCCTGTCCTGCTTCAGTGGCATCAAGCACAGCAGTCACCACCTGAGCATAGTCCTTCTGTTCTGTATGTGCAAGGGTGGGGTGTGGAGGCAAGCAAAGGGGTCTTTGTGGTGGCCCAGGAGGCTGTTTTTGATACCGTAGGGCCAGGCCCTCAGGGGAACTGCAGGAAGCATTTAGCTTGCAGGCACAGGCCTTTCAGTAAAGGTCACCCATCCAGGGATCCAGGATGGAGCTGATTCCAGGTGATCAGATCCTCTTACTGGAGAGTGGGCCTGTTGTCAAAGCAGAGAGACCCCAGATGGCAGAAAACAGCTACTGCAGCCCTTTCCCCTTCTTGTTTGTATTAAGGGGCTTAGATAGCCCACAGAGCTAGAGGGTCCTCACAAAGAACAGGATGAGGTATGGGAGAGAGCCACTGAGATGCCAGGCCTCCATCCCTGGCTGTAGGACTATTAAGTAACCCAGAGTGGGGTAGGATTTGGATTTGAGGGAAGACCCAGTCCCCAGGCCCTGTACCAGGCTGGGCCTGACAGTGCTGCCCACCTCTGTAACTTTCTGATAAGAGGGAGGATGGGGCCTACAGTGCCCTTTTGCCCTGTCCTTAGCGACCGGGACACGCAGCTGGCACGGCTGATGCAGCGGAACAGCCTGAACTGCAAGGACGCAGAGGCCCGCATCGAGGCCCAGCTGCCCCTGAAGGACAAGGCCTGCATGGCCAACCACATTCTAGACAACTCAGGCGAGTGGAGTATCACCAAACGCCAGGTCATCCTCTTGCATGCTGAGCTGGAGCGCTCCCTGGAGTACCTGCCGCTGAGGCTCGGGGTCCTCACAGGTCTGGCTGGCATTGTCAGCCTCCTCTACCTTCTCACCCACTACCTTCTGCCTTCTCTGTAGCTGGGCACTTCAAGGCAGGAAACCCAGGCCTCCCTCTCCTTGGAGGCTGAAGTCAGGTAACGCATCCTGTTTCTTCTCAACCCCCTCAACACACACGTACGCACACACTTTGAACCTGGGCTGGGCTCCTGCACTGGGCCAGTCCTTCTTTGGAGTGCATCTTGTCTGAGGCAGAGAAACAGCCTGCTGGCAGTAGGCACTCCTTCTCACTTGCCCCTCCCTCCTCTGTTACCACCTACAGAACAGTATCATGATGGTGCATCAAAGCTTCAGTCAGAGACTTAAATTTCTGTTGGGTGAGGGTAGGGAACACTGTCTCTGTGGTCCTCACCAGTGTTTAGAGCTGGGAGGCCAAGGGTTCTCTGGGCTTGAACCCTGTTCAAGCATGTGCCCCATCACGGCCAACACCTCCTTATTGGAACACTGGAAATCATTTTGGACCAAGGATTTCCACCTTCGAACAGGGTTCTCCCTTGGTGGAAGCCCTTGTCCAGGATGCAGTGAGGATTCTCTCATGGGTACTGCTGTAGCCAGGCAGAGGCTGGGAGATCCACCATCCCACCATGGGGTTTCTCCAGTGCTCTCCCTACCCTGTTCAACACCTCCCACCACTCTCTGCCTCCTACTCCGTGGACTCCTAGCCCTGAACTCTTGGTACTCCACGTGTACCATGCTGTTTCTCACCTCTGTGCCTTCTGCTCCCCACCCTGGAGCCTGGAATACCTTTTCTTTCTCTCCCCCGCTCCTCCAACTGGCTAACTCTCAGTTCAGGCATTGTCTGAAGCCCCAGGCTGGAGTTAGGTGCTCTGCCACCACCCCTACATTTTACCTTAATCCACAGTATAGAAATCAGCCAAAAGCTAGTTGGCTTCTCCTACTAGACTGTAAGCCCTTTAAGGGCAGGGACAGTGTTTTAATCATCTCGATGTTCCTAGTGCAGAGCCCAGCTCGCTGTTGGTGCTTAATAAAGTGTGTTGATCTGAAATGTCCTGGACAAACCAAGGTTTCCAGACTTGGCTGATATCATTTGGAGATGCACTTGGCCTCATGCCACAGTGGGCCCTGGGCCCCTCAACCCTGGGCCCCAGAAGGTACAGTAGCAGTCTTTATTTTTTCCTGGCCCTCAGGAGGACTCCAGCCAGTCCAGTGTACCTTTGTGGCAGGTGGGTGGAGGTGCTGGGGCAGCATCACAGCCACTTACCCCGCTGCTCCATCTGCCTTGCCCACCATTGCAGACATCAGCCTTCCCCTGCCGGAGCTCATACACCTGCTGATGTGTTAATCCTGCAGCCAGCAGCCTATTAAGGCCAGAAATTAGCATGACAAATGTGAATGTGCAGTGGTGGCCATATTTAAGCGCCCCCTTTCCCAGAGTTGCTCATACTCAGAGACCAGCTCATTAACTCACAGCAAACCTCCAAGGGGCAAAGAACGGCTGTGCAAGGCAGTGGTGAGCAGCCGGGTAGGTGGCAGAAGGCTGCTGTTGCCCCAGTTTGGTGGGACCTGGCAGGAACGAGGAAGGGGAGGAAAGGTATGAACCCCCACAGTGCCTTGTTACCTCAGTAATTGAGAAAATGACTTCATGAATGCTCGTGGCCTGCTAGACACTGTGCTGCAGTTGCTGAATGTGTTGCCCTGTAGGTAGCATAATACTGGTTATGCCCATTCCAGGCCCGGAGAGACAGAGGGTCACAGAGCCAGGCTCTGAACTTTGCCACTGTACTCCTGAGCCTCTTCTCAGGAGGAGCAGACCTGGGGTTGAGGCCTGGCTCTGCCTCCTGTGTGAACTCCTGACTTGGCTTCTGCTATCATGTGGGCGTCGTGATGCTTACGTCTCAGGGCCTAATAATTGGAGGACGGTGAAAATCCTTTGTAAACTGTAAGATCCCAAAGAATTCACTTCTTCCCTGACCCATCTACCAGTTTGATGAGAGAGTATCAGAGAGTGCCCAGGCTGGGAGGTGTGGTGAAACCGCAGATCTAGTCCTGGTCCCACCACAGCTCCCGCTGCCGCTCCCGTGCCTCCCTTCTCGTGGGCTCCTTGTCCCTGGCTTGGTGGTCCAAGGCGGCTTCCTTTCCTGGGGAGGGGTCGGGCCGCCGGGAGCCCAGCCTCGCGGACGCGCCGGCGGCCTCCCCGCTCCGGCCGGCGGGTGGCAGTACCCGCCCGCATTGGGGCCAGGCCTCCGCCGCTCTCCCCCCGCGGGTCCTCCCTCTCCCTTCGGGGCCGCGGCCAGCCTTAGATCCCCGCGGTGCGGCTGCGGCTGCAGCGGGCGGGGCATCCCGGGGGGGGGGGGGGGAAACCCGCAGATCTAGTCCTGGTCCCCCCACAGCTCCCGCTGCCGCTCCCGTGCCTCCCTTCTCGTGGGCTCCTTGTCCCTGGCTTGGTGGTCCAAGGCGGCTTCCTTTCCTGGGGAGGGGTCGGGCCGCCGGGAGCCCAGCCTCGCGGACGCGCCGGCGGCCTCCCCGCTCCGGCCGGCGGGTGGCAGTACCCGCCCGCATTGGGGCCAGGCCTCCGCCGCTCTCCCCCCGCGGGTCCTCCCTCTCCCTTCGGGGCCGCGGCCAGCCTTAGATCCCCGCGGTGCGGCTGCGGCTGCAGCGGCCGCGCAATCTCGGGGGGCGCGGACCAGCTGCCTGGCCCCGGACTCTAATTAAAAAGCTGCATTGCTCACCCGCGTCCTCCGCTGGGGATGAGGGGACGGGCACGGGACCCTGGGCTCCCACCCGCCAGCCGCGCGCCCAGGCCTGCGTGCCATTCCCTCACTTCGGGCCTTGCCACCCGGCGCGGAGCACTAAAGACACCAAGGGCTGCAGACGCACCCACCTCTTGGCGGAGGGTGAAGGGCACAGGCAGGCCCCTAAACCACCCCCATCCCCGGGCCCTGCCTGCCCGAGGTAACTCGCAGAGTGACAAAGTACATTGAGGAGGTTTTCTCCTTGAAATCTCCCAGCTCCGTGAGGCAGTGAGGGGGTGAGGGCCACAATTTTACAGAAGTTGAGCCACCGGCCGAAGTCACCAACAGGCATAACCGTCGAGCTTCTGGGCTCGCAGTACGATGCTCTTCCCGCTACCTGCACTGCCCCCTTTAATTACACCTTGGCTGTGTAGTAGTAATTGACAACCCTTCCTCAGATGTGCAGTCTCTCTCTTTCCTTAGGGGGGCCAGGGGACGGACAGGAAGGTTTGGGACACTTCCATGATGAGCCTCCATGACTAGAAATTGGAAAGGGATAGCCCTGTCCTCTGAGGGCCGCGAGTTCTTACAAAGGCACTTTAGGTAGGAAGAAAAGTCCCAGGGGCAGGAGAGGCAATGAGGATGGGACCTTCATCCACTAGAGATGAGCAGGGGAGACCCCTGGAGATGGGAAAGGAGCAGCAAAATGAAGGAGGTACTGTGGGTTGCTTTCCTGCTCCTTTCGGGAAGGGGAGACCGGCTTTTGGCTCCTCAGTCTCACCCAACTGCAGAGCTGAGGCTGCACCCAGCTGGGACCCAAAGCCCCTCTCTTTGCTCCCCACCTTCCCCTCCCCTCCCATCGCTCAGATTCCAATACAATTTCCAACTAACCAGCATGTCAATAGAACAAGTCAGGCGGCCCTGTTGCTGGCCAATTACAGGAAATCATTCTGCTCCACAGCTCAGCGCTCAGGGAGAGAGAGGCAGGGAGGAAGAGAATTCGAGGGAGCAGGCGCCCAGCTTGCAGGCTGAGAAGGGACTTCAGGCAGAGACAGGGAGTGCTGCAGCCCTGGAGGGAGTAAGGGGGTGGGATGTGGGGGTGTGGGGAGGCTCCTGGGGGAAGTCCAGCCTGGGGCTCTTCCTCAGTCTCACACAGAGCTCTGGATCCAGCTTCCCCACGATGGGGAGATTGGTGTGCCTCAAACCACAAAGAGACAGCTGGGGGTTGTGGGTGGGTGAGGAGGGTCAGGGAGGTGAGGCATCTGCTTGGAGTCAAAGGAGATAGAAGGGGGGATGGTGAGACCAACCTCCCCCAGAACCCTGCACACTAAACAGTCGGGTTGGGGGTGAGGATGGGGAGGGCACCCAGGCCTCCTTCACCCTGAGGGGCCCTGCAGGGCCATTTGAGTGCCTGGAAGCTGTGGCCCACACAGGCAAGACCTATGCTCCCAAGGATCCTAGATGGGGGGGGGGAGGGGAGGAAAGGGGGCTACAGCCTGCCGTTGACTAGACTAGCAGCAGCCTCACTTGGTGAAGGGGTAAGTCTTCCACCTCCGAGGGGGGTACAGAAATGTGGGAGGGGCCAAGGACCTCCTCACTTACCTGCTCAGCTCCTCTGCCTTAATTCCTACCCCTGGCCCTCAAGAAGCTTTCACTCAGGTGAAAGGACTCCAACTCCCCTCCATTTCCATCTGTCTGAATCTGCCAGTACCTTCTCAGCCTACCTGGATGCCTCTTTGCAAACCCCCACCGCATCTCTCATCACATCTCTCACCACGTCTCTCCCAGAACTGTCCCGCCAACCTACCCCAGACCGCCCCTCCAGCAGACCTTGAGATGCCCCTGCCCCCCCAGCACCAGTGATGAGCTCTTCTTCCCAGTCCTCCAGTCTTTCCCCCAAAGTACTGGAAGATCCTTGAGGGACAGAAACTTCCGTATGACTAACTCCACCCAGTGAATGACTTGTTGCTGTGGTTGTCTTGAACCCCAAAAGGAGGCAACTGTGACCCGATGATCTCTTCTGCTCCAGGCTATAGCCGCTTTCCCAGGCCCCCTCCCCAATTCCCCAGGATATCACTGCACCCTCCCCCAATTCCAAACCCTCTCATTCAGACCCCTCCAGGGGTGGGACCTGGGTTGGATTCAACCCAAGGGTAGACAAATGGGCAGACGAGGCAGATAAGATGGACCTGGCTCTCAGCGAACCCGACACCCAGTGTCGCTCAGGAAATGCGGTTGAACGGTAAAGCCATCTTCAAAGTTCGTTTAGTGAGGTGCGTCAGGGAGCAGGGTCAGCGCCCCGGGGCTCCTCTGTCCCCGGGATCCCTGCCCAAGTACTCAGGCTCAGGCGTCCGGGGTGGAGGTGTCGGGGCTGGCCCTGTTTGCGTCCCCCGCTTGGTACATGTGGGCGCCGCGGCTCCCGGGAGCAGCGCCGCCCCTGCGGTCCCTCCCCCGGTGCTGCCTCTCGAGGGCCGGGCGCCCGGTACTCGGCGATCCGGAAGAGGGCGCCCGCCCAGCCCTAGGCCGCGGTGCTCCCCCCGCCGCCCACTCCAGGAGCTTGGCAGCCCCCAGGCCCGGCGCCATCGATCGGGCCGCGGGGACGCGGGAGTACCGCCTCCCCACCCCTCGCTTTTCGCTTTTAATTGAAGTTTGTTTTAGCAGAGCGCGGAGCGGGCAGAGGCAGAAACCAAATATTTAGTTGCTGCAAATTGGCACCTCCAGATCAATTACCCGGCCCGTGTCAGGGCCTGCGCCGCCCCCTGCGCCCCGCGGAATCTTAATGCCGCGCTGCCCGCCCGGGCCCCGCGCAGCCGGCCTCCCGTCCGCCGCACGTTTCTCATCAGCTCCAGCCATACATCACCCGTGGCCGCTGGGGAACAGATTTTCAATGGGAAAAGTTACCCGGGAGGGTCCTCGTTGCCGATTCCTGCTGCGCCCTGCGCTGTCTGGCCTCCGCCCCCACCCGGCCTGTCTGATCGGAACAGCCCTGGATTAGGAGTGAGCTCCAAAGCAAGGACTTTGTGTCACACGGACCTGGCCCCAGTCCCAGTAACTCCTCTGACCCGCTGGATAACCTTGGGGAAGTTACTTATGTTCCCTGAGCCTCGGTTTCCCCCTCTGTAATATGAGGCTTAACCTTCACCTTGTGGGGTCAACAACATGGAGGGACAACACCCTGCACCGGGCTGGCACATAGTGGCTTTCCATAGTTATTAGTTCTCAGTCTGCTAGGAGGTAAAATAGGTTCTAAAATGAAGTGATGGACACTGAGTGGGAGGCAACTCAATCAAGCCACTGAAAAAGAGCAAAGGGAAAGCAAGAGGCAGCCAG